ACCAACTCTTGGATGGTCTTAATAATTTACTTCCTTTTTTTAGTCTGTGTGTTGCAATCCATTCATTTTACCTTTTAATTAGGTATTCCTTGCATTTTTGTAATCATTTAAAAAATTCTTAGAGCTTTTTGAGTTTAATATTATATTTCCATTTTGTCTTAAATGAGTGGAATGTAAATTTTTTCTAAACCTACACAGAGTAATGCCCCCAAAATTTATCTCCTTAGTGTTCTCATTGCGCTACATCTAGATTTTCTGAGATTCAAAGTTAGGTTCTCTTTTGAGCCTATGATTACTAAAGCTACAGTTATGAATACTTTTCCATATATTCTAGGTGATATGATTTTTTTCTCAGCATTTTTTTCTTAATGCATTTTGATCAGAGAAAGGGTAAGAACTGTTTTCATTTTGAGAATTTATTGAGTTGTTTATAGCCTAACACTCAAGTTTTGCAAATTGTTTTTAAGCAGATTTATTTTGATTTTGCTTGAACTATATCTTTTAGTCAGTCTTCTTTTAGCAGGCTATTGAAAATCTGTACATCAGTATGTCTTTTTGGCCTATTTAATAAACCCTTGTTTGCAATGGATGTGTTAAATATCCTTTTATTATTTTGTTTCTCTATATTTTATGCAGTCATATTTTGAGCAGCATGATACTGTATTATTTAGTGAGTAAAGATTTAGGTCTGTTGTAATCTCACAGAACTTGACATTTCCTATTGCAACAAGCTCCCATTCACAGATGAGGGAATTTAAACTAAGAATAAGGGGGCAATCTGCCACTGCCCCACATCACACAGTAAGAGGCAGGTCTGGATGTCCAACTCAGGCCAGTCTAAAGCCTTGAACATGAATACACACACACACACACACACACACACACACACACACACTTTCTCTGTCTCACACACAGGAACAGATAAAAAAGAAGAAAACATCTGAAATAATTTCCACCTTTTTCATTTGAGCTAACAAAATGATTCACAAGAATTACAAATAGAGGCTCAATTATGCTAGGTTTGCATAAGGAGCACCCAAAGTCATATTTGCTTCATTGGAGGCCCCATCTCTGGGCAGCACCTGCTCCTTTACAGATGCATTGGCAATATGTGCTCTGCCCCCACTTAAGTGCACTGGGGCCAGTGGCTCTCACACTGTGACAAGTAAATTACTTTTGTATACTTTATGACACAGAGATAGATAAAATCTTCCAGGGTCTGTGTTTTACTTATTTAGAAAAAACAACTTCATGTCTAATCCTGGACCTTGTTGTCATCTTTGAATATTTCTTTGTAAACAAATATACCTACTCCTTTTTTTCACAGTAAATTCATTTAAATAAAATGTAATTTGTGTGATAACTGAGTGCCAAAAGTTCTATTTTCATAAAGATAAGAACTAATGCAAGTTCTCTCAAATAATGGTTTATGTAGATTCTACATGAACTCCAGACAGACTTGAATATTACGGTTATTTCTTTATTTTAATAAACACTAAAATAAATGTGTCTGAAATTTATTTGAGAAGTACTCACAGGTCTACCTGATTTATTAAACTCATACACTATTCCCAGTTTTCTTTAGTGATATCTTGGTGTCACTGTTGCCCTTGTTAGCCATACAAAAAAGACATCGACAACGTACTTTAAGGAGACTGTTTACTTCCTTTCAAAACAGCAGGCTGAGTGGGAACCAGGAATTCGGACATGAAATGGTAAAACAACACTTACTTCTTGCAAGCACTTTATGGACTGGGAATATTTTACAGAAAAGAGACTGAAACAGCCACTTGGCTTCAAGTGAAGCCCTGCTTTCATGCTCACTCACCCCCAGGCTTTGGAAGCAGAAACCAACTACACACTTCAGTGATACTGGAGGGGCTTTCTATTTTTTCTTTTTCTTTTCTAAAATATAAAATTATATAGTAGAGATGAAACTACATAAGGCAATCTGTAGAAGGAAGGATCTATAGTAAAGGTCCATGTCTGTGACAGGAGAAAAAAAAGTTTGTTTTGGAATATGCAATTTAAATTTAAATTTAAATTCATTTAAATCTTTCAGGAAACTCAAGGTAGAAATGACCATCACACCACATCTAGGATTTGGGAGGATGAAGCAACATTAAAAAATCCTCACCTATTACTTACCATCTCTTAGACCCCCAGGAACAAAACATAATCATAACCTTGGGTGATTGAAGCTTTCTATCAGTCACGCATGTGTGTGTGTGTGTGTGTGTGTGTGTGTGTGTGTGTATCTCATCAGACACTACCAAGTGCTGAAGAACAATACTTTTAATCTTTTAGAGCCATGTAATATCTAGACTCCACTAATAGAAATAACATGAAAATGAACCCTGGAGATAATGCATGATATCAAAACAATTTTATCTAGTTAATTACAAGAGGTCATACACATAGTTATGTTCATAAATTAAGTTGGTTAAAAATGCTGATTAAATGCTTAAAGCAGGAGGAGAGATGTTCAGTGCTTACTACAGCTGACCTCCAATACCTGTGCCCCGCTCTCCAGTAACTGCCTTGTTGTTTGCACTAACTCCACCAGGAAACTTGTCTCCATTACTTGAATACAAAATAGTTTTAAATAGAATAAAAATCTATTTTGCATTTCCATTCATAGGTAACTTAGGATTTATTTACCTGATGATTTAAACTCCTTATAAATCTTATATATGCAATTCTGAAAAATATATAGTTCTTGAATTCATCTTTTCTAATCTAAAGAGAAGCTAATTGAGGGTACTCACTGCTTTTTCATTTTTCACTTCTGAAGCCCTGGAGTCATTATGGTTTGAACAATCTGCTCTTACTTACATGATCTGCTCTGTCCTACTGAGGTCTCAGCTGAACAAGAGCCATCACCCAGTCATAAGGCATCTCCCCAAGCAGCTCTGTGCATCTGTGAAGTCTTCAGTTAGGGTAGGGTCTCACACTCCTGGCTTCCTCACAATGTCTTTGGTTTTTTCATTTTTTCCCCTCTGAACCTCATACAATGCTTTTCTTTAAACTCTTCCTTATTTTTATGTTCTTCTAGTTATTCATAAGTTCTAAGCCCAACTTTTAGAGACTACTTGTTAGATAAAACATGTCAAATAGTCTCAATACTATTGATAATGAGATGACAGAAATAAGAACATCAACCAGGCTCTAATTATGTCTACAGAGGAGCAAGAGTTCAGAGAAGAGTCTGGAACAGGTTAGAACATGCCCTCTAGAAATCTGTTCACAGTTCAGAATCCAGTCAGGAAAGGTGAATCACAGAATAGCGAGGGAGGCAAGTCAGCTCTGATGAAGTGGAAAAGAGGCTTTAGTGAGCCGCCGGGCAGCCTGAAGGGGCTGTCTAGGGAGGACAGCTTTGCCAGAGGGAATCTCAGGGAGTGCTAAGGAACAGAAGAACTGCAAAATTATGTTCCAGCTAACTTTGAGAAGAATGACCCACATGTTGAAGGAGGCATTAAGATGTCCAGTTATTTCACCTGGAAATACCTGTCATTCAGAAGTCCACAAAGAGAAGGTGAAATGTGCTAGACTTTCTCAGAGATGCCTAACAGAACTCTGCAATGGTGGAAAGTTTAGAGAACACCACAGCTGTGCCATCCCAATACAGTAGCCACTAACCACATGTGGCTGCTGAACATCTGAAAAATAGAAAGTGTGACTGAGAGACTAAAGTTTTAACATCATAGCTTTCCAGAATTGCAACCCCTGATAAAGCAAGGACTTCTCATTCTGCATTTAGATCTCTTTTATTTGAACAAAAGTTTTCTGCTTACATGTAATACTACTTATTCTTTTCTCGTTAAACTTATCTGTGATGCTTTTTTTTATAAATTTTTTTTATAAATTTTATAATTACTGGACTAATTTTATGTCAGTTCTTTTGGGTTTTAGTCTATCCATTATCGGTTATAGTTTGGATCTAGAAATATCTCCACAAAAGCGCATATTTTGAAAGCATGATTCTCCAATGTAGTAAGATTCAGAGGTGGGGCTTTTAGGCAGTGATTAGGGATATAACCTCATAAGTAGATTAATCCATTTCATGGCTTAATAATTTGAATGCACTACTGGTTGGTAACTGTAGGCATGTGGGCACGGATGGAGGTAGTAGGTCACTAGGGATATGGCATTGAAATCTGTCACTGGCTGCTTCCTCTCTGCGTTTTGGTTGCTATGAGCCTGGGTAGCACCCTTTGGCCACACACTACCATCAAGATGTTCTGCCTCACCTCAGGCCCAGAGCGACTGAGTTGGCTGACCATCAACTGAGTCTTCTGAAACTGTGAGCCCAAAGTAAACTTTTCCTCCTCTAATTTTTTCTTGTCAGATATTTTGGTCATTGTGATGAAAAGCCATTCTGTTACTGGATCATCAATATGAATAATGTGTCTATGCATCATTTTACCAATTGATGAGGACAGAAAAAGTAGTAAAGACTTGTGTATTTACCTGTATTTATTTTCTCTTATAAGAACCATCTGCTCCATGTTATATTAAAATATTTAAAACATAGACATAAACTTCACACTTACTTTCTATTCTTTCACAGATTTAGCTCTTCTCCAAATGAATAAGAGAGAAAAAGCAACAGAGGTAAGGTGAAAACAAGGGGAAAAAACAAGAGGCTCTAGAATTCTCTGGAAGAAAACTAGCCTCAGAAGGGGTATGGAGATGATTCAGAACAGGGGTGGGATGTAGGGAGGTGAGTGTATCAGAGCATATGCAGTTACTAGGAAAACCACCAGAGAGCAGAGATTCAGGGATGTGATGTAAATCTGGGAAATACTTCAGGAGTCCAAGAAGACTCTAGAAGGGCATAAGAAGGCAGATAACAGGAAAGATGGGCCTTAGTTATAGAGAAGGGAGTAGGATGGGGGAAGCTGCATTCAGGAGATTCATTTATGATGCTACATGAAGTAGCCAATCTGCATAATGTTCTCATTCATCCCTAAAATAATTTAAGTAAGAAAAAATTTTACCTGTGATGTCCTGAATAACGTGGACCACGGATATGGCCTATTCCTCGGCACCCAGGTGTAGGACAAACAGCTTGACCTGGAAGGATTTTCACATCATTTGCTCCTTCAGGAAGTAAAAGAACATACCTTAAAAACACCCTCATTAAAGAACTGGAGAGACTAAAATATGTACATGATGTTAATTGATACTTTACAAATGAAAAACAAACTATCACCCAAAAAACCCACTTATTGAGTACTTGATATTTTATAAATTGATTTAGCAGAAAACACCATGGTATAATAAATAATACTCACAACAAAATTAATATTAAAGGAGAAAATGAATCAGCATTGAAGAAATTGAAACAAATGGATGTGAGGACATTCACTTATTCTTTCAGATATTAATTATACAGATACAGATATTAATTATAGCAAAGGGAATATAGCCACAAGCTGAGATGGGAACACATGACAGCCCACAGGCAAACTGGCCATGGTCGGCTGACTCAAGACCAAGGCCTAACCCAAGAGGCAGTCAAAGCTCAACTGAAAAAGGACTGACATCACACTGCACCCCCACCCCAAGCCACACTACTCTACACTACCCTACACAACAGCACTCTTCTCCAACCACTCCAGGCCAGAGATGAATTCTGACAATCTCAAGAGGCCATCTACCCCTAAAGGTTAATAGGATTAAAAACCCCCAAGCCCTGTTCAATGATATGATTTTCCTCACTCTTCCCCCATCCCCAAACACACACACACACACACACACACACACACCACACACCAATATCAACTTTTGAAATGCTCCACCCCTTACCTTCCAGGCCTGACAACCCCATACCTCCCTTTCTCCTTAACAAACTGTTTCTTTGTTGAGTTATTTTCTCCATCTCCCAGCTCTACTCTCATCCAGCTGTTGGCTCACTGCGGCCACAGTCTTCTTCAAGAAAACCCCTTCATTTTCTTCAAAAAATATGCTCTTTTCCATCCAGTGCCTCTCCTGAACCTCACTTCTAAGACTCCTGTTCTTCCAAGGCTGGTGATAAGGACTCCACCATCTGCTTCTCCTCTCATCTATCTGTTTGGGTCATCCCAAGCCACTCAGGCAAGACTCTTGCACCATGTTACCTTGTTCCTACTATGCCCCCTCTTCAAACATCAGCTCAGGTGACCTCATCAGCCTCACAGGCATCCCATCCACCATGTCACCCCATCATGAACCTGCTCATCTCCAGTGGTCTCTCCCTGAATCCATCAGGTCACACACACAAATAATATGATCTGAGTCCTGTCATCACCCCAAATATCCCTATTTCTAAACTCTCTGAACCAATACCCCATCTCATTACAAGTTATGTCCTTCTACACTGCTACTCACATGCCCAAACTCTGATGATGTTTTTAACATGGATGGAATTTCCAGGGCACTAATTTCTCTTCTATTCTGTTCTAATTTAAATTCTATCAACCATTCTTTGACTCTCTATTGCAAGGAATTTAAATTCCTCTGCCCCTCTGACTTTTTAATTACACCTGGCTGTGTTAGGGGGAGTCAATCGTGATGTATCAACTGAACCCTGTGTTTTGTACAGTTCTCCTGGGAAAAAATTGCACATAGTACTGACTAGTTGTTTAAAATACACTAATCTCCAAATCTCCCACTAACCACCTCCCATTGGCAGTTTGCTTGCTGCAAACTGAGAAAATAGGAGGCAGCAGAGAGGGGCTTTGTCCTCTCCTACCCAGGGCCCTCATTTCTCTCTTCCTGTTCATTAAAATGTAGGAGGAATTTTCCCTTCTACAAAGCAAACACCTCCCCAATAATGTTTGGATCGCATTGCGTTCCCATTCTCCTGGATCTTTAGGCTGTCATTTTGATTAATTGACCAACATTCAAATATATTCCTATTTCATGCATTATTTTAAAAAATGACCCAAAACCCCCAAAACACAGGATCCCATAATTCTCTAAGAGTTGCTATTGACTCTTGCCCCTTAGTCAAAATTCTTGAAGGAATAATCTCTATTTCTTCACCTCACTTCTCTTACACATGGATTTATTTCCATGATCACTAATGACCTCTACATTCCAAGCCTCTGTGCTGCTGAGTATGTATCATACATGATGTCCTGGGAGCCATCTCCTTTGTGAATTGTTACTGTCCACCGACTTTGGTGACAACACATTCTGACAGTTTCCCTTCTGCATATAAACATTCTTTGGTAATTTCCTTTGCCAGGTTTTCCTCCTCTATTTAACTTTAAAATCTCAGAAAACTTCCTCACGGTTTGCTCTTAAGTCATCCATTCCAAAGCTTCATTTCCTAACTGTATTCCATAGATGTTCACACACCATAGTCCAAATATCTTTTTCTAAGTTCCATCTGACATCCCCCCTGGGATCTCTTAAGTCATTTCAAATGTGATATGTCCAAACTGAATTCATAAGCTTGCCCCCAACCTTTTTTTCCCCTCTAGCTGCTGAGTTCAATAAATTGCATCACAATCCATACCAGAAACCCTAGGTACCTGACATTCCTCTTTTTCAGTTCACAGCATCTCTACTGTCACTCAAACTCTATTCTCTTAAATATCTCCTTAACTTGCTAATGTATCTCCATCATCACTATTGATCTAATCCATGTCATCATCATCTGCATGGAAATCTTCACTAGCTCTCTCATCCCAATCTATTTCAGTGATACTTTCAAACTGCAAATCGAATCTTAGCACCTTTAAATGACTTCTCATTGCAGTTAGAACTAAGTCCCTAGATCTGGTTCTTATGGATAGCTAACTGGATTTAACTGGATTTTTCTCCTTATTCAACATTCTTCATTCATACTGGTTCCTTGAGCCTGCAAGTTCTTTCACAACTCAGGGCATTTACATGGCGGAATGAGTGTCCAATTGTTACCTTGGGTAACTCTAGTTACCTATACAGTCACAGCTTATATTTCACTTCCTCAAGCAAACTTCAAAGAAGTGGTTAGGTCCTCATTTTATACAGCATTTACCTCAACCACAAATTAAATGAGTATTTGTTTAATGCCTATCTCTCTTATTAGATTGTAAATTGCAAGCCAGAATCTACTTCACTGTGTGTCATCATTATCTAGTCTAACACATAATTAGTGTTCAGTGAGTGCTTACTGAATGCATAGGGGAATATTCCCCAGTTGTTCCCTTGTGGTGCTCATAGGCTAGTAGAGAGGCTCAATATAAACCAGAAATTACCATTATAGTCTGATTATGCTACATGAAAGTCTCAACTAAAGTTAGCTCCCAATGTATGGTGATAACAGAAAAATATTCAAATCTTAAATATAATTCATTACATTTACTGAACAATAAGAAAGTATATCTGAGACACTTATGCTCTTATGACTTTGTGAAACACCTTGAGGGATAGAGAAAAATAAAGAGTTGCTTTTATCCAGAGGCAGTTTTTGGAAACAGCTTAGAAACAAATTTTAAATCAATCAGAGGAATAGATGTCCCAAATTAGGAAATATGCTGTGTTACAGTAAATGAAAGAAATGAAATGAAATGAAATGAAAGAAATGAAAGAAGTACAGGTTCAACTTTTCTGCATCTCATGACATGCTGCCACGACACCAACATAAAAGTTTAAAATTTTAAACCCACAGCTAATCAACCAACCAAATACTCCCATCAGTCAGCCCAGATACAATTCTGTAGACAATATTCCACACACAGTGAACGCTACTTAATATTATGCTCAGTACTATTTTAATAAACTTGATTAGATTAAGGATTAACATGATATTTGCAATATTTATCTCCAGATCCCTGATGGGTCCCACAATTCTACTCTTATTAAAGCTGGGAGGAGAGGTCTGACCTCCACGCTAGAACAGGAACCATCACATTAAAAACCTCAACAAGGGACATAACAAAGCAGGATTCAAAGACAATATGAACTAAAAATGAGGAGAGCCAAACCATTTCCTCGTTAATTCTGAATGATGAAGTATAATGAGTTGATTCAACGGTGAGTTATATCAAGAATCATAAACTGGGGAAAAGGAATTGGTAAATTCTACAACAGTTCACATTACTGCCATTAAGATAAAGGGAACCTATGAGCAAAGTAATGTTTTTTTTAAAAAAAATAATAATCACATTTTTGCCAAGAACATCTTACTTGTAATTTGGACATTTAGAGAATTAGGTCTGTAGAGAAAAAAATGTTCTCATCTCAAAATTATTTCTTCAGAGACTGTCCCCGAACTCCTTACCATTTTTTGCCTTCTTTTTTTTTTTACCACTTTCCCTGAGATTATGCTAATTTGTGGGCATGTCATCTGTTTCCCTGAAGTAGAAGGAGGATGTCTGCCTCATCTAACTTGTTTACATTGCATCCCAAGCACCTGCAAAAGCAGTGATTGGCACATGGTAGATATTCAGTGTGTATTTGAATAAATGATAACAATACCTATAACCATCATTTTGGTAGATTCTTAGCTGTGAATAATCACTATTTTATTCTATTTTTAGGCTTATCTAAAATCAATCCCTGACCTTCTATTTTCAAGTACGTGAGCCACTCACTCTATCAGGCAGCATGAATGTCTTCTGATTTATTCCAAGTCTTCAATGAAAAATTTTACTCAGGTGGGAGTAAATCTAAAGGCAAATTTTTTGTTTGTTTGTTTGTTTGTTTGTTTCAAGGACTAAAAAGAAACAAAAAATTCCCAATAAACTAGATATTACCTGAATGACAAATAATGCCTTATTCTAACATGAGAAGGTATAAAGAAGTCCTCCTGTTATTCCCATTCACAGGGCAATCCACATTTGCTGGGAGCAGCCAGGGCAGACACTGGTTTTGCTGCTCAATATTCATTCTCTCCTTCCTTGTTAAACAAAAGGCAGCAATATGCCCAACTAAAAATGTCATTTGACTGACCAGAACAATGAGACCTCAGGGAAAGAGTTGCAGGGATGTCTCTAAATGCTTTTATTTCCTATGAAAGGGGTGAAAGAGAGGCTGGGCACTGCTTTGCCCTTTTCACCTTTATTTGAACTTCCTGGTGACATGAGGTGTAAAGCTCAAGAGGAATAAACATAAGAAGAAATGCAAAA